TTAACATCCCTCCATTGTTAAAGGACAAAAGTCTACAAAATGGTTATGGTGACATGCAGCTACAGATGGATCGTTTTATAGTAATCACTTTAGCCAAACCCAAATTCGATACAGAATCAGGTCAATTCCCAATGATCAAATGTTAGCTGCAGATCGCTAATTCACTCCTGCAAGAACTGCTGAAGAAGTCCTTTGAGTTTGCCACTAATAACAGATGATAGATAAGGTCTCCTTCCCACTTTCTACTTATCTACTAACATGTATAATGTGCAACAGGCAATAACCTATTATAATGGAACAAACTAATGAGTGCTCCATTTCATCCCTTGACTTGGAATGTAGTTAGTCTGGTATGGAGTGTTGGGGGGAACCTTGGCCATTGGCACACAACATTGTGCCTAGTGCTTTTCCAATGTGAGTGGAGCTCCCACATATCTTCCCTCGAATGCTCCCCTGAAAAAGAGACCTTTTGGACCTGAAGGCCTCAAGCTCATTGGACATGTAGGTGTCCTTTTATGAAACAGAGATCAGCGGCGATCCTGAGGATCGTTGCTGATCTCCAATCATTAGTGGTTTAGGAAACAGAGATGATCACCAGAGAACATGTTCTCCGCTGATCATCTCTGTTTCCTAAACCACTAATGATTGGAGATCAGCAACGATCCTCAGGACATTGTGCCTAGTGCTTTTCCAATGGGAGTGGAGCTCCCATATATATTCCCTCCAATGCTCCCCTGAAAAAGAGACCTTTTGGACCTGAAGGCCTCAAGCTCATTGGACATTTAGGTGTCCTTTTATGAAACAGAGATCAGCGGCAATCCTGAGGATCGTTTCTGATCTCCGATCATTAGTGGTTTAGGAAACAGAGATGATCAGCAGAGAACATGTTCCCCGCTGATAATCGCAGCACACAGATGGCCAGTATATGAAGGAGCGATGTCAGCCCTTCACTGGTATACACAGTATTTCAAAGTCTCTGTTACAAGCAAGCTCATCCAGCAGGTCAAAGTCAGATTATCAAGACTTCTAGGCAGCATCCAGGTCTCCTCACTACAGACAGCAAAACTGCCATCAACCAGCCTCTGTGATCAGCTGTTCAATAAACAGGCCTGCAAGGGAAGTACCTGCCCCCTACAATGAACCCCCTTCTAAATCTGCCCCAGGCTGACTCTATACAGCACCCAGGGACAAATGCCCAGAACGCTGACGTCTCTGAGCATCAGGCATGGGGCCTCATAATTGTGGTGATTACCACATTTAGGGCTCATGTACACTGCAGCTGATAAACTCACGTTTAGGAGCTGTTCTTCGTTTTTTTTTCAGCAGCCCCTGAACTCTCCGTAATGTTTTCCTATGTGTCCATGTACACATCTTCCTTTACAGGCAGTTGAGTTTGCAGTCATTTTTTTGAATGCAGAAAACTTACATTCAGCAGTCGATTCTATCAGCATTTCAAAAGCAAAATGCTTGAAAACGTGGCTAAACACGGCAAATCGCGTTTATAAGCGTTTGCGTTTGAAATTTTTTTTAACTCTTCCAGTTCCCGATGCTGTCCAGAGCCTTTTTTCATCATGAAAAATGCATGCAAAGCGGTTTCAAGGTACTCAAATGGACAAAACACTGAACACAGGATGTTCCTACCAAGCTTGGCACACATTGTAATGACCAATTCACACCTCAGACCTCTCCCACCCTTGGAAACAAAAGATATGTTAATGACCAATTCACACACCTCAGACCTCTCCCACCCATGGAAACAAAAAGATATGTTAATGACCAATTCACACCTCAGACCTCTCCCAGCCTTGGAAACAAAAAGATATGTTAATGACCAATTCACACCTCAGACCTCTCCCAGCCTTGGAAACAAAAGATATGTTAATGACCATTCACACCTCAGACCTCTCCCAGCCTTGGAAACAAAAGATATGTTAATGACCATTCACACCTCAGACCTCTCCCACCCTTGGAAACAAAAAATATATTGATGACCATTCACACCTCAAATTTCTCATGGAGACCTCCTGCCAGTTGACCTTAATGACTCCCTCCACCAGACACCTTTCCCACCCTTGGAAACAAAAGAAATGTTAATGAGCAACTCACACCTAAGCTAATCTCAACACATACTGCTGTCTCTGCTTCTACTCTCTGTATTTCTCTGAAACAGTCTGAAATAGTTAATAATTTACCACTTTTCAGTGCATTCTGGGCATTTGGGAGGTTCTCCTGTGCTTATCTTTAAAAACAGCTTCTAAACACAAACGCACATAAACGCGGTATGCAAACGCGGCTAAACAGACATTTTTTAACCTACGTTTTCCAGCAGTCGGTTTCCATCGTTCAGAAGTGTCCTGTGTATATGGGGCCTTAGGGTTCCACATTGACTGCAAGAGCTTCAATGGTTTCCAGATCCAGCTGTGCTGTATTGGTTCTTTTATGGTGCTAGGGGCAGATTCAGACTCCACTTGTAACTATAATATCATTTGTAGATGGACTGAACTATTTCCAGCCATTCCAGGACGATTCCTAGCCCTGACTGCCATTCGTCCTGATGATTTTTAGTAAAATCAAATATGCTTCTATTTCACAATACATTGGACTGTATACTTATATATTTTTTTAGGTTGGATGTTTTTAGTATATTATGATTATTTTATTTTTAGATGGAGGACGAAGCTGAAGGTGAGGTCTGTCTGCAGTATGAGTTGCAAGATAAAGTTGTAAAGAACAATCTTCATTTTCCACTGAGAGTGCAGAAAAAACAGAGAGGTGAATACATTGTGACTCACCATATTTAACAGAGAGTAGCAGGACATACAGGGACCACACAAATCATGATATTTTTCTTGTTTGGCTATTCAAGTCTAACAGTGACCTTTTAATGGTTGAGCCCTGGTGTTTTAATGGGTAGTCTAAGGCCTGTGATCCTTGTTGTGCCTTCCTAGCCAATCATCCACCAACTTACAGAGCTCTGGTCTCCTCATGCACGGTATATCTTTTCTTACCCACCACCCACAGACTGGTAGGGCTCTGGTCTCCTCATGCACCGTCTAACCTCTTTCAGGTCCACCATCCACAGACTGATAGGGCTCTGGTCTCCTCATGCACCGTCTAACCTCTTTCAGGCCCACCCTCCACAGACTGGCAGGGCTCTGGTCTCCTCATGCACCGTCTAACCTCTTTCAGGCCCACCCTCCACAGACTGGCAGGGCTGTGGTCTCCTCCTGCACCGTCTAACCTCTTTCAGGCCCACCATCCACAGACTGGCAGGGCTCTGGTCTCCTCGTGCACCGTCTAACCTCTTTCAGGCCCACCATCCACAGACTGGCAGGGCTCTGGTCTCCTCGTGCACCGTCTAACCTCTTTCAGGCCCACCATCCACAGACTGGCAGGGCTCTGGTCTCCTCGTGCACCGTCTAACCTCTTTCAGGCCCACCATCCACAGACTGGCAGGGCTCTGGTCTCCTCATGCACCGTCTAACCTCTTTCAGGCCCACCATCCACAGACTGGCAGGGCTCTGGTCTCCTCATGCACCGTCTAACCTCTTTCAGGCCCACCATCCACAGACTGGTAGGGCTGTGGTCTCCTCCTGCACCGTCTAACATCTTTCAGGCCCACCCTCCACAGACTGGCAGGGCTCTGGTCTCCTCATGCACCGTCTAACCTCTTTCTGTTTTCAATATTTTTATTAAGAAAGTTTTGTTTATGAACACAACAAGCTCAATATACCCCCACGCAGGGGCCGAGCGTAACAGTAACTCAGGAACAGGTACATCCTGCTGACTTGTATTAACCAAATAATAAAAATGTCCAATACAGCAAGGAAGGACGGCAAAAAGCCGAACCAAATATTATCAGCAGTAGTCCAACAGAATACGGTAAAGAGAAGAGGATAGAAAAGAACAAGAGTCAGAAAGAAAACATAGAGGAAAGGGAGACTAGAAGAATCACGGATCCAGGGCTAGCACAGGTAGCAATTATAAGGGGTCATAACTAGTAGGGGGCAGGGATGGTAAGGAGTATGGTATCCAAGGTTCCCAAACCTTAAGAAATCTCGGATGAGAATCATGAAGAATGCTAGACATCTTTTTCATTGATCAACATATCATTCATCCGGGTCTTCACCCCTTGGAAAACAACCGAAGGGGTTCTCCAAGCTTGAGCTATGGTGCGTTTGGCCAAAATAAATAGGTAGGATGCCAGTTTCTGCTGAGATCTAGACAGACCCAGAATTGGGCAATGTAGAAGGGCTACCCTTGCATCCCTATGGACCGTAATGTGAAATAGCGTTTGTAGCAAACCAAAAACCCTAGACCAGAAGCCTATCAATCGAGGGCACGACCACCAAATGTCTAAGACCATCTAACCTCTTTCAGGCACACCATCCACAGACTGGCAGGGCTCTGGTCTCCTCATGCACCTTCTAAACTTTCAGGTTCACCATCCACAGACTGGCAGGGCTCTGGTCTCCTCATGTACCTTATAACCTCTTTCAGGCCCACCATCCACAGACTGGTAGGGCTCTGGTCTCTTCATGCATTGTCTAACCTCTTTCAGGCCCACCATCCACAGACTGGCAAGGCACTGGTCTCCTCATGTACCGTCTAACTTCTTTCAGGCCCAACATCCACAGACTGGCAGAGCTCTGGTCTCCTCATGCACTGTCTAACCTCTTTCAGGCCCACCCTCCCCAGACTGGTAGGGCTCTGGTCTCCTCATGCACTGACTAACCTCTTTCAGGCCCACCATCCACAGATTGGCAGAGCTTTGGTCTAATCATACACCTTCTAACCTCTTTCAGGTTCACCATCCACAGACTGGTAGGGTTCTGGTCTCCTCATGCACCTTCTAACCTCTTTCAGGTTCATCATCCACAGACTGGTAGTGCTCTGGTCTCCTCATGCACTGTCTAACCTCTTTCAGGCCCACCATCCACAGACTGGCTGCCAAAGCTCTGATCTCTGAGTTGGAACATGGATCAGATTCAGACTCTGAGGAGGTGAAGAAGAAGATCTTGGAGACCAGTTTACAGTCTGGTGTTGTCTCCTCTCTCACTGCCTATGTAGCCATCAACAAGAACACTAAGAGACGTGTAGAGGGTCCTCCAATGTGTAGGGACATTCCGACAACAGGTATGTAGTTGTACAGTTTTCAATGCATTCATCTGATCCTGACCACTGTTATTTGGTAGAATGAAACTGCATTTCATATCTTGTGTAAGCATTGGATAGCTGCACCTGCTTCCCCAATTTTCATCATACTAGAGGTTTTGGGTGTCCATCATGATAGTTACTGTATATGGAATCAAAGTGGTGGAGTCTTCTGGGTAAACAATGACATATCAAACAACCCAATCCCATCCTTTTATTACTCAACACCTCATATAGATTTACAACTTCATTCAGAGTCCCCTTGTTCACTGTTCTTAAAGCTGAATTCTAGGGTAATAAGTCAAAATCACTTATCAATGGGGTGATATGGATAAACAAGAAAGCTGTTGATAAGGTAAGCTACAACTCAACCATTTAACAGATATTCCTGAAGAAAAATGTGTGCCATCTCCCCTATTCATTAAAATGCAGCAAAGGCCGCACTTCCAATGCGTCCACCCTTTGCAATACTTAAATCAATATGGCTGAAAGATCTTGCTCAAGCAAATTAGTGAATGTTTTTTGCTTCCACTACTGTGCAGGCACGGGATCTCGGCTCCATATTTCTAACATTACATTATGGTGGAGGAATTTAGTGCATGTTGTGATGTCAGAAATACGGCACCAGATACCACACGTGCAGTAATAGCAGAAAGGACAGGTCACAAGCACACACGTGGGATCTCCCTGGCATATTAAGTAAGCTTTGCAGAAGGTGGGTTTGACAACCTAAAATTTTATTGTGAGAGCACATAAGTGACACTAGAAGGTTAGGTTGTGGGTGTACACTAGGAGGTATTGCTGTGGAATAGTATCACGTACCTGGTGTTAGAGGCCAATGGAGAGAGGGCTTCCCTTGCAGGCTAAGTTCCAGACTCCCCTGGATATGGGACTGAAGGAGTCAGGCCCAAAGTAGCACGGGTCGCCTGTAGAAGTGCTTGTCAGAGGTACACCCAGGAGCACAGCTGATGCACTGGAATGGTGTCTGCAGACAGGTGGCACCTGTGAGAGGTATGCAGGCCTTCAGGGTAGCAGAGGACCATAGAGTAGTCAGTTCAAAGCCAAGGTCAGATGCCAGGTGGAGATTGGAGCAGACATAGTCAATAGGATAGCCGGTCATACACAGGAGAGCAAGTGATAATATCTATTAGCCAAGCCAGGGTCAGATCAGGAGAGCAGGTGAGAATATCTATTAGCCAAGCCGGGGTCAGATCTGGAGAACAGGTGAAAATATCTGGAATTAGCCCCAAGCCAGGGTCAGATCAGATTACACCTACTCTCCTCTCCTATTAGCCAAGCCGAGGTCAGATCAGGAGAAGCAGGTGAGACCCCATATCCTATTAGCCGAGCCAGGGTCAGATCACCACTCCAACAGGTGAGAATATCTCCTTAGCCAAGCCAGGGTCCAGATTCAGGGAAAGAGGTGAGAATATCATTAGCCAGGCCATGATCAGCATTGTAGGTATTGTGACAATATCTTTAGCCACAGCCTGAGGTCAGAATCATTGGCGAGCAGATGAGAATAATAATAATTAGCCATTAGCTGAGGTCAGATCAGGAGAGCAGATGAGAATATCTATTAGCCAAGCCAGGTCAGATCAGGAGAGCAGATGAGAATATCTATTAGCCAAGCTGAGGTCAGATCAGGAGTACAGGTGAGAATATCAACCGGTAATTTGGGGGAGTGATGGGCTTCCTTATGAAGGCTGTCTGGCTCCAAACTGAGCTAACTATGTGCCAGTGCGCATGCATGTTCCAGCTTGTGTCCGTGGGCCAATGTGCATAGATTTTCGCCAGCGTGCATTTCAGCGGCCATGCAAGGTACTGGCAGGAATGCCAGGTCTCTGAGTACCTGTAAGGGACCGCCCGGCGACACCACTAGCACTCCACTAATCAGGCGTCCCCAGCGCACGGAGTCTAAGTCCCAGAGTACTTGTTCACCAGGGCCCCTGATGGTGGGGATGGACTTGGAGTACCCCGGGACCAGGTCGTGCTTACTGAGGATACCCGTCAGTGGTAGGGGTGTTCGCCAGGGGCTCCCACGGGGGAGAGAGCCTGATATGAGGAGGTCTGGAGACCCCGCTGAGAGAATGGATGGATGGATGGATGGCTGAGCAAGTGCAGAGTCAGGCAAGCGGGTCGGTAACGGGGAGGACAGTACGGTACAAGGCAGCGGGCAGAGAATAGTCGGGTCACACGCCAGGTCATCAACAGTAGGTCAGATCCAATAGGGGACATACGGAAGAGAGGTCAGGCAAGCAAGGGTCTGGGCAGGAGAATTCAGCAGTGGTCAGGTACAATCCGGGTCAGCAACTTACAGGTAGGTACAGGTTCAGGTTCAGGATACAGGATGCAGGACAAGGACAAGGACAAGGACAAGACCAGAAGGCACCAAATGACAGCTCAGGGCTGTTTAAATATCGCGCCCTGCGCTGCCATTGGTGCCCAGCGGGCGGCCGCGGCTCCTACTGCGCATGCGCGAACTCGCGCGCCGCGGCCGGCCCGGACCTAGAGCTCGCGTCCCTGCACAGGGCGGCATACTGCGCCGGGACCATCGCGGCGGGGATCGAGGGGATCCCTGACAGTACCTCAGCTGTGGACAGAGCCCTGACAAATAGTTACAGTAGACATGACAAGCAAAGTGTTTATTGTGGAGGCACATAGCAAAGGAGTGAATGCAAATGAAGATTTTAGATCTGGTTTTATAGCTTCTCATGATTGTTCCTTCATCCTCTCAACACATCGACGGTGATGGCACCTAACTCTCCCAAACCTAACCTCCTAACACTGCCATGGTAATGTGTATAAACAAAATAGAAGGGTTTAGGACTTCAGAACATAGTATTTATAAGATATTAGTGTATGTACCTTCTGCATTGCAATACGACTGGCACACTTTATTCATGGTAGGACTCACTGTAATGCCATGCAGATGTTTTCACTCTTTGCAGTCTCTGAGAGGGGCGAGGTCCACATAATCATATCTCGTCATCTGTCCATCATCTCTCATCACATCATCTCTCATCATCCTTTCTTTTCAGCAGACATCATGTGCTCAGAGTACGCACAGAACCTCAACCTTCACTATGGACATTCTCTGCACTCCGCGTCACATTCCCATCACATGAGTGCCAGAAATAGTAAGTGCCAGTTATCCTTGTGTGCATTTATTTCAGTATTGCTAATGAACAATGCTCTGCAGTATAGACCCCAATCTCTGGTGGGTACAATGCTGTCCCTATGTCTGGTGTGTGCAATGCAGTGCACATCCTAATCTCTGCTTGATACTAAGCAATACAGATCCCAGTCTCTGGTGGGTAGTACAATGTTGACTCCAGTTTCTATTAGGTGCTATACAATACAGGTTCCAGCCTTTGGTGGGTACTATACAATGTAGACACCAATATCTGGTGGGTTCTACACAATATAGATTTCAGTTTCTGGGGGTACTATATATGGTAGACACCAGTCTTTGAAGTATACTGTACAATGTAGACCTCAGTCTCTGGTGGGTACTATATGCTGTAGACCTCAGGCTGTGGTAGGTGTTTTACAATAGAGGTTTGAGTGTCTGGTGGGTACAATACAGTCTAGATCCCAGTCTCTGGAATATACTGTACAACTTAGACCTCATTCTCTACTATACGATACCCGACCCTGGTCTCTGGTAGGTACTATACGATGTAGACCCCAGTCTCTGGTGGGTAGTACCCTGTGGGTCTATACAATACAGGTTCCAGCTTTGGTGGGTACTATACAATGTAGACACCAATATCTGGTGATGTTCTACCCCATAGATTTCAGTTTCTGGTGGGTACTATACAACTGAGGACCAGTTTCTGGCACGTGTGACTCCAAAGTAGACCCCAGTCTCTGGTACTAAAGACCTCAGGCTATACAGTGTAGTCTCTGGAATATACTGACCTCATTCTCTGGTGGGTACTATACGTGGGTACTATAGACCCCAAACTCTGGGGGGGGGGGGGGGCTCTATGCAATGTAGACTCTATTCTCTGGGGGGGGGTTCTATGCAATGTAGACTCCATTCCCTGGAGGGGGGGGGGGTTCTATGCAATGTAGACTCCATCCTTTGGAATAAACTGTACAATGTAGACCTCAGTCTCTAGTGGGTACTATACAACTGAGGTTCCAGTTTCTAGTGGGTACTATATAATGTAGAACCCAGTCTCTGGAATATATTGTACAATGTGGACCTCAGTCTTTGTTGGGTACTATTCGATTTAGACCCCAGTGTGGTATGTGACCCCAGTATATGGATCCGGTTTCTGGTGGGTACGATACAATGTAGACCTCATTCTCTGGTGGGTACTTCAGGATGTAGACCCCAATCTCTGGGGAGTACTAGAAAAATGGAAGTTCCAGTTTCTGGTGGGTACTATACAATGTAGATCCCAGTCTCTGGAATATACTGTACAATGTGGACCTTAGTCTTTGTTGGGTACTATACAATTTAGACCCCAGTATATGGTTCCAGTTTCTGGTGGGTACAATAAATGTATTTTATTTTATTTATTTCAGGTATTTATATAGCGCTGTCAATTTGCACAGCACTTTACATATATATATTGTACATTCACATCAGTCCCTAACCCTCAAGGGGCGTATACAATCTAAGGTCCCTAACTCACATTCATACATACACATACTAGGGCCAATTTAGACTGGATCCAATTCACCTACCTGTATGTCTTTGGAGGGTGGGAGGAAACCAGAGTACCCAGAGGAAACCATGCAGGCACAGGACAACATGCAAACTCCAGGCAGGAGGTGCCATGGCTGGGATTTGAACCAACGACCATTAGTGCTGCCAGGCGGAAGTGCTAACCATTTAGCCACTGTGCTGCCCAATGTAGACCATCCATTCTCTGGTGGGCACTTCAAGATGTAGACCCCAATCTCTGGGAGTACTAAAAAAATTAAAGCTCCATTTTCTGGTGGGTACTATACAATGTAGATCCCAGTCTCTGGAATATACTGTACAATTTAGATCTTTTTCTCTGGTGGACACTATATGATACAGTCCCTGGTATATTGGGTATTGTACAATGTAGACCCCAGTCTTTGGTGTGGGTACTATACAATTGAGGTTACACTTTCTATCGGGTACAAGGTTTCCTCGGAATATACTGTGCAATGTAGACCTCATTCTCTAGTGGATACTATACAATACAGACCCTGGTGTCTGGTGGATACTATAGTGTGTGGACCCCAGTGTCTTGTAGTATTATGAAACAGACTTCAGTCTTTGGTGTGTACTATAGAAAGCAGACCCCCAGTTCTGGTGAGTGTATATAGAAGTGCAATCCTTGTTGCTGCTAGACTACTTCTAATAGAGTGCATATATGTTGCTCCAGGGACAAAGGGAATTCCACTAATTGTTGATTTTTCAGTGTTTAGGCCTTTATGTAGAAAAATCTGGTGCAACTCTGCACAGAAACCAATCAGCTTCCAGGTTTTATTGCCAAATCGTAATTGAAAAAGCTGAAGTTAGAAGCTGATTGACTACATGCCAGATGCACCAGATTTATCAGTTTTAGTAGATCCAGTATGTCTTCTTACACAGATCCACATGAATATGGGGCTCGTATTTATCATGGTCCCACAGCCAGGTATAGTACAGTTCAAGAGGTCCTTCTGTGGAAAGTATCCAAAACATATCAAATACTGGTTAGACAAGTTTTCTGGTGGTCCTTTTCCAGTGGCAACTCAAAATTTAGGATTCCCCTTTAATTTCAGCATTTGTGACAATGGTCACCAGAACAGAGAGGATGAATCTCTCCAGTGGGAACACAGCCAGCAATATAAACCTGTTCAGTAGTTATATCCCTTCCACACTCCATACAAAACATTAAAAGAAATTTGTGGCTTTGGATAACCCTTTTACTACTACTGACATATGGGATACGTCAGCAACAGCGGGTGGGTCTGCACACACTCTTGTAAATTCCACAAGCTGACTTGGCATTCAAGGTGGAAGTGATCAGGCAGCTATACAGCCATCCAATTGCTTTTTTCAGACTTGCAGAACATTGCCCTCCTCTTGTTTCTCAGGCTCCACTACCCTACCTGGAAGCCCAGGACCCACATGGTGGGTGTCGCTGGGTAGAGAGGAAAAAACCAGCAAGAGCTAGTAAGAACCCAAAGCAATGAAGATTGTGTCACTTCTGGTTTCTGCTGTCCTTTTCCCTGGCTGCTGCTGTTGCCACGAAAGAAGCTAACAGAGCGTGATCTGGACCCTGGACTCCACTTCTGTGGAGTGCAGGGAGAAGTCAGGGGTCTATATGACCCCTAATGCCCCATTAAAGACAACCTGTCACTGTAAACATGCTGTCTCATCGGAGGCTATTGGGTAAGGTTGCTATTTGTCCCAGTTTCTCAGGATCAGTCTCTGTTGTGAGGGGTCTGTCCCTGGGAAATACATGTCCCCGGATTTATCAGCATAAAATTTGAAATGCGTAGGCTTCAACTCGTCACACTGCACAAACAGCAATTCAAAAATGGTGCCACCAAAGTGCCTCACATGTGCATGGCGATTCATACTGCTGCACACACGCAGACTGCTACAGTCATGGCATTTTGGATAGACACTTGCACAATGTAATAAGTCTGAGCCTACACAATGAATAGTACACTAGCCAGCACCCTGGGACGATGCTGGGGCCTGGGAATGATATGTACAAGTCACAGTCTGTGGGTAACGTGCTACTGACCTGATCCCTGGACTCTTAACCCTGACCTTTAAACTCTGTTATGTAACTCTGACCTCTGAAATCTCTGCATTATTTACTCCTGACCCCTGAACTCTGTGTTATGGACTCCTGACTGCTGAACTCTGCATTTCTTACTCCTGACCCCTGACCTGTGGCCTTACTCCTAACCCCTGAACTCTGTGTGTTACTTACTCCTAACCCCTGAACTCTGTGTTATGGACTCCTGACTGCTGAACTCTGCATTTCTTACTCCTGACCCCTGACCTGTGGCCTTACTCCTAACCCCTGACCTGTATGTGTTACTTACTCCTAACCCCTGAACTCTGTGTGTTACTTGCTCTGGACTCTTGAATGCTGTGTATTACTTATTCCTGACCTCTGAATTCTATGTGGTACTTCTGACCCCTGACCTTTGTGTGTTACTTACTCCTGACCCCTGAACTCTGTTTGTTACGCCTAACCCCTGAACTCTGTGTGTTAATTACTATTTAACCCTGAACTCTGTGTTGCTTACTCCTGACCCCTGAACTCTGTGTGTTACTTACTTCTGACCTCTCTACATTACCTAATCCTAACCCCTGAACTCTGTGTTGCTTACTCCTGACCCCTGAACTCTGTGTTTCTAATTCCTGACCCCTGACCTGTGTGACTTACTCCTAACTCCTGAACTATTTGTGTTACTTATTCCTGACCTATGAATTCTGTGTGTTACTTACTTCTGACCCCTGAACTCTGTTTGTTACTCCTAACCCCTAAACTCTGTGTGTTACGTACTTCTGACCCCTGAACGCTCTACATTACCTAATCCTAATCCCTGAACTCTGTGCATTACTTACTCCTGAACTCTGTTTGTTACTCATAATCTCTGTACTCTGTGTGTTAATTACTATTGACCCTTGAACTCTGTGTTACTTACTCCTGACCACTCTACATTACCTAACCCTAACCCCTGAACTCTGTGCATTACTTACTCCTGACCCCTGAACTCTGTGCATTACTTACTCCTGACCCCTGAACTCTGTGCATTACTTACTCCTGACCCCTGAACTCTGTGTGTTACTTATTCTTGACTCCTGACCTGTGTGACTTACTCCTAACTCCTGAACTCTTTGTGTTACTTATTCCTGACCTCTGAATTCTGTGTGTTACTTACTTCTGACCTCTGATGTTTGTGTGTTACTTGCTCCTAACCCCTGAACTCTGTGTGTTGCTTACTCCTGAACCTTGAACTCTGGGTAGTACTTATTCCTGACCCCTGGACTCTGTGTGTTACTTACCCCTGTACCCTGAACTGTCTACATTACCTAATCCTAATCCCTATACTCTGTGCATTACTTACTGGTGAACTCTGTGCATTACTTACTCCTGACCCCTGAGCTCTGTGCGTTACTTGCTCTTGACCCCTGAACTCTGTGCGTTACTTACTCCTGACCCCTGAACTCTCTACATTACCTAATCCTAACCCCTGAACTGTGTGTTATTTACTCCTGACTCCTAAACTCTCAACATTATCCAACCTTGACCCCTGAACTCTGTGAGGCAAATATGGCTCTAGTACCAAAAGGGGTAATCATGTGCTGTGCTGCCCTATAGGGTACGTCACCTCACTATGATTTACTGTAGATGCTGTTATTTGGAGATTTTTTTTAATTGAATTGTATGTCATGATGATGCTGTTCAGTGTTAGATATCCTTGTCCTATGACCCATTCACTTGTTGAACGCCAGTTGGGGTACCTGAGCTCTGGAAGGGAATGTGATCAAGTGTGGGTTGCACTGTAGTCCCTGCAAACAAGAAGTGGACTTGGAATGGACCCGTTTACCAGGCTACTGGTCTTTGTATTGGTTCACCTGGTGGAACAATGTGGCAGTGAACATCCATTCATCACAGGACAGCCCAATTTCCTTTAAATTTGAGTTTGGGGAAGTCCATTCATTGTTTGGTATGTTGGGATGAAATAAAATGCCGTTAATAACAGGATGTCTTTCTTATTTCACAGATTTGTACATCCTTCATGATCATTATTTTGATGGTCCAGAAGCAGGTACAGTACAGCACAGAGTTATGTATCATTTCTGTCTGGGGCAAACGCACAACACCACCACAGATGACCAGGGTTCAACATCTTTACATAGTTACATAGTTATGCAGGCCATAGATCGGGAGAAAACCGGCCGATCTTTCTTTAAAAAACAAAAAATCGGTCGTTCAAGCGGACCGACGTTACCAGGAATGGTAAAAAAAATCGGCCGATTTTCATCCCCTCTGCAGCCGGCAAAAGGTGTCCCTGCAGAGAGCTCCACTATTTCTTTGACAGTGCTTTGACATTTATAGCGGTTGCAACATTGTATCTATTTGTAACAATTTTGGATACAGATGTTTTTAATCGGAAACAAATAAATACTGTACATTGTTGCAACTGCTATAATTGTCAAAGCACTGTCAAAGAAATAGTGGAGCTCTCTGCAGGGACACCTTTTGCAGGACTGGAATTCTTCTTCTTCTTCATCCTCTTCTTCTTCATCATCTTCATCCTCTTCTTCTTCTTCATCTTCATCCTCTTCTTCTTCTTCATCCTCTTCATCCTCTTCTTCTTCTTCATCCTCTTCTTCCTATTTCATCCTCTTCTTTTTCATCCTCTTCTTCTTCCTCTTCTTCTTCTTCATCCTCTTCCTCTTCTTCTTCTTCTTCTTCATCATCTTCTTCTTCATCCTCTTCTTCTTCTTCATCCTCTTCTTCTTCATCTTCTTCTTTTTTCATCCTCTTCTTCTTCTTCTTCTTCTTTCCTCTTCTTCTTCTTCTTCCTCTTCTTCTTCTTCATCCTCTTCGTCTTCTTCTTCATCCTCTTCTTCTTCATCCTCTTCCTCTTCTTCTTCTTCATCCTCTTCCTCTTCTTCTTCTTCATCCTCTTCCTCTTCATCCTCTTCTTCTTCTTCTTCTTCTTCTTCTTCTTCTTCCTCTTCCTCTTCTTCTTCATCCTCTTCCTCTTCTTCTTCTTCTTCTTCTTCTTCTTCATCATCTTCCTCTTCTTCTTCATCCTCTTCTTCTTCATCATCATCTTCCTCTTCATCATCCTCTTCTTCTTCATCCTCTTCTTCTTCATCATCCTCTTCTTCTTCTTTTTGTCTTCCTCTTGCAGGTCACGGCTCATGCGCAGATTTTTTTATCGGTAAAAAGATCGGCCGATTTGCCTATAATTGACGCGAAAATCGGCCGATATTTTTCCAACTTTATCGATAAAAAAATCTGCAAAAATACAGAAAAACGGGGCCGAACAATTAAACCACTAACGATCCGAAAATCGGCCAATTTTATTTTCGGCCAAAAAATCGGCCGATTTTCGACCCATCTATGGCCTGCATAAGTCTGGCTGAAAAAAGACAAAAGTCCATCCAGTTCAACCATTAAAAAAAAAGTTATAATCCTACACCCACAGCTGATCCAGAGGAAGGCAAAAAAAACGAGTAAAGCAATTTGCTCCTGCAGGGGAAAAAATTCCTTCCCGATCCCCCGAGAGGCAATCGGATATTCCCTGGATCAACTTTACCTATAAATGTTATATCCAGTTATATTCTGTGTATCCAAGAAAGAATCCAGGACTTTCCTACAGCAATCCACTGAGCTGGCCACAACCAACTCTTGGGGGAGTCTTCACTGAGGTTTCACCATTAACTGATTACGGATAAACAACAAACCTTAATGTACGTCTAAAGGGGACCCCGTCTCCGGATCAACCACTTCCACAACAATCTTCCCATAAGAGTGTATGTGTATTTAAAGGGTAACTCTACTTTCATGGAAGAAAAAACTAGCAAATAAAAAAATTATTATAGCATGTGCACAAGTCATATTATTATTATTATACAGGATTTATGGCACCAACGGTTTACAAAGCGATTTACAATATAAGGGCAGACAGTACAATTACAATACAAATGAATACAGGAGGGATCAGAGGGCTCTGCTCCACAGAGCTTACAATCTAAGAGGGAGGGTTGAGAGGTACAAAAGGTAATCACTGTGGGGGATGGGCTGATGGGCAAAACACATGTACAGTTGTTAGGTGGGGGCAGGATAGGCCTCTCAGAAGAGATGAGTTTTCAGGAATCATCTAAAAGTAGACAGAGATGGAGTAAGTCAGACACATTGGGGAAGGGAGTTCCAGAGGATGGGAACAGCTCTGGAGAAGTCCTGGAGGTGAGCATGGGAGGAGGTGACAAGGGAGCTAGAGAGCAAGAGGTATTGGGAGGAATGAAGAGAACTATTTGGTTGGTATTTTGAGACCAGGTTGGTGATGTAGCTGGGGGGTGAGTTGTGGATGGCTTTGTAAGTTGATGTTAGTATCTTGAATTTGATTTGTTGGGTGAGCTGAAGCCAGTGCAGGGATTGGCAGAGAGGGGTGGAGGATACTGAGTGGAGGGCAGTGGAGGGATTGGCAGAGAGGGGTGGATGACACCGAGTGGAGGTCAGTGGAGGGATTGGCAGAGAGGGGTGGAGGACACTGAGTGGAGGTCAGTGGAAGGATTGGAAGAAAGGGGTGGAGGACACTGAATGGAGGTCAGTGGATTGATTGGCAGAAAGGGGTGGAGGACACTGAGTGGAGGCCAGCGAAGGGATTGGCAGAGAGGGGTGGAGGACACTGAGTGGAGGTCAGTGGAAGGATTGGAAGAAAGGGGTGGAGGACACTGAATGGAGGTCAGTGGATTGATTGGCAGAAAGGGGTGGAGGACACTGAGTGTAGGCCAGCGAAGGGATTGGCAGAGAGGGGTGGAGGACACTGAGTGGAGGTCAGTGGATGGATTGGCAGAAAGGGGTGGAGGACACTGAGTGGAGGTCAGTGGAGGGATTGGCAGAGAGGGGTGGAGGACACTGAGTCAGTGGAGGGATTGGCAGAGAGGGGTGGAGGACACTGAGAGGAGGCCAGCGAAGGGATTGGCAGAAAGGGGTGGAGGACACTGAGTCAGTGGAGGGATTGGCAGAGAGGGGTGGAGGACACTGAGAGGAGGCCAGCGAAGGGATTGGCAGAGAGGGGTGGAGGACACTGAGTGGAGGTCAGTGGAAGGATTGGAAGAAAGGGGTGGAGGACACTGAATGGAGGTCAGTGGATGGATTGGCAGAAAGGGGTGGAGGACACTGAGTGGAGGTCAGTGGAGGGATTGGCAGAGAGGGGTGGAGGACACTGAGTGGAGGTCAGTGGATGGATTGTCAGAGAGGGGTGGAGGACGCTGAGTGGAAGTCAGTGGAGGGATTGGCAGAGAAGGGTTGAGGACACTGAATGGAGGTCAATGGAGTGATTGGCAGAGAAGGGTGGAGGACACTGAATGTAGGTCAATGGAGTGATTGGCAGAGAGGGGTGGAGGACACTGAATGGAGGCCAGTGGAGGGATTGGCAGAGAGGGGTGGAGGACACTGAGTGGAGGTCAGTAGAGGGATTGGCAGAGAGGGGTGGAGGACACTGAGTGGAGGCCAGTGGAGGGATTGGCAGAGAGGGCTGGAGGACACTGAACGGTTGGTAAGGTGGATGAGCCTGGCAGCAGTAGTCATGATGGACTGGACGGGGGATAGCCTGGCCCTATACAAAGGCAAGCCAGTGAGGAGGGAGTTGCAGTAGTCGGGGTGGGAGATGACCGGGGAGTGATTGTACTGTAATTGAATGTTATTAAAAATGACCTTTTCTTTCATATCTGCAGCCACTGTAATTTTCTGTAAAATGCAATTAAATTTGGCAACCTGGAGGTGTTCGGTATACAGATGGTGTACAGAACTCCACCAGAAATGTCCTTTCCCGCTTGTATAATTGGGTCACTGAATTTCCCAGAAGTCTGCACTAAGATGCAAGTCAGATTTTGGGCGTCCCCTGCAACATAAATGGAATTTGTGGTGAGAAATCACATCTAAAGGGATGCAGACCCTGCCACTTTCTTCTTTGGAGCCCTGCAAGTGCGGTAGCTGATTGAGGATTATAAAATCACTCACATTTGTATTCATTTCACACTCGGACACAGGCAAACAAACAGCTATTTCTTCAGAACCACAAAAGGTAGGAATCTGCAATATAGTTTGTTGAAATCCCTGCAATGTACAGAGATCACCTCGAGGGGAATGCTTTTCTCTTAACAAAAGTGGAGTTACCCTTTAAATGTATTTTATTCATGTTATTTTCCTAAACAATCCTCCCTTGTGCAGACATCTAACAGCCCCGAGATTGCTGCAGGGTGCCACCATCTTGGATGTGATGTCATCAGTCGCAGACTCACAGCTGTCGCTCCAGTGTCACCCTACTACAGGGGTCTCCAAACTCTTCAGTATGAGGACCACATTGTGTATTTTACAAATATTCACAGGCCAATAAATTACTCATCAGGGTCCCCACTTACATAAAGAGTCTCCATTGGAATCCCCCCTTACATCAAGGGGACTGGCAAGGGGGGACTCTGGTCGGGTCCCTGATGTAAGGGGGACTCAAATAGGGACAATGATGTGAGGGACTTTAGGTTCTCTTTTAGAGTCTCCCCTTATGGTGATTTTGCCACTGATGAGGACTCTGATAGAGACCATGATGTAAGGGGGAGGACTCTGCTAGGGACCCTGATGTAAGGGGGGGGGGGGGGGACTCCGCTAGGGATCCTGATTTAAGGGGATGATTCTGATAGGGACCCCGATGTAAGGGCAGGATTCTGACAGGGACCCTGATGTAAGGGAAGGATTCTGATAGGAACCCTGATGTAAGGAGAGGATTCTGATAGGGACCCTGATATAAGGGAAGGATTCTGCTAGGGACCCAGATGTAAGGGGAGGATTCTGATGGGGACCCTGATGTAAGGGGAGGATTCTGCTTGGGACCCTGATGTAAGGGGGGGGATTTTGATAGGGACCTGATGTAAGGAGAGGAGTCTGATCGGGACCCTGATGTAAGGGGAGGATTCTGATGGGGACCCTGATGTAAGGGGAGGATTCTGATAGGGACCCTGATGTAAGGGGAGGAGTCTGATAGGGACCCTGATGTAAGGGGAGGATTCTGATGGGGACCCTGATGTAAGGGGAGGATTCTGATAGGGACCCTGATGTAAGGGGAGGATTCTGATAGGGACCCTGATGTAAGGGGAGGATTCTGATAGGGACCCTGATGTAAGGGGAGGATTCTGATGGGGACCCTGATGTAAGGGGAGGATTCTGATAGGGACCCTGATGTAAGGGGAGGATTCTGATAGGGACCCTGATGTAAGGGGAGGATTCTGATGGGGACCCTGATGTAAGGGGAGGATTCTGATAGGGACCCTGATGTAAGGGTATTATTCTGATAGGGACCCTGATGTAAGGGGAGGATTCTGATGGGGACCCTGATGTAAGGGGAGGATTCTGCTTGGGACCCTGATGTAAGGGGGGGGATTTTGATAGGGACCTGATGTAAGGAGAGGATTCTGATAGGGACCCTGATGTAAGGGGAGGATTCTGATGGGGACCCTGATGTAGGGGGGGAGGATTCTGATAGGGACCTTGATGTAAGGGGAGGAGTCTGATAGGGACCCTGATGTAAGGGGAGGATTCTGATGGGGACCCTGATGTAAGGGGAGGATTCTGCTTGGGACCCTGATGTAAGGGGGGGGGGGGGGGATTTTGATAGGGACCTGATGTAAGGGGAGGATTCTGATAGGGACCCTGATGTAAGGGGAGGATTCTGATGGGGACCCTGATGTAAGGGGAGGATTCTGATAGGGACCCTGATGTAAGGGGAGGATTCTGATGGGGACCCTGATGTAAGGGGAGGATTCTGATGGGGACCCTGATGTAAGGGGAGGATTCTGATAGGGACCCTGATGTAAGGGGAGGAGTCTGATAGGGACCCTGATGTAAGGGGAGGATTCTGATAGGGACCCTGATGTAAGGGGAGGATTCTGATAGGAACCCTGATGTAAGGGGGGGATTTTGATAGGGACCTGATGTAAGGAGAGGATTCTGATAGGGACCCTGAGGTAAGGGGAGGATTCTGATGGGGACCCTGATGTAAGGGGATGATTCTGATGGGGACCCTGATGTAAGGGGATGATTCTGATGGGGACCCTGATGTAAGGGGAGGATTCTGATGGGGACCCTGATGTAAGGGGAGGATTCTGATAGGGACCCTGATGTAAGGGGAGGAGTCTGATAGGGACCCTGATGTAAGGGGAGGATTCTGATGGGGACCCTGATGTAAGGGGAGGATTCTGATAGGGACCCTGATGTAAGGGGAGGATTCTGATAGGGACCCTGATGTAAGGGGAGGATTCTGATAGGGACCCTGATGTAAGGGGAGGATTCTGATGGGGACCCTGATGTAAGGGAAGGATTCTGATGGGGACCCTGATGTAAGGGGGAACTCTGCTAGGGACCCTGATGTAAGGGGGAACTCTGCTAGGGACCCTGATGTAAGGAGGCACTCTGCTAGGGACCCTGATGTAAGGGGGGACTCTGATGGGGAACCCACTCAAGTCAATGGGCTCTCCTGCCGAACGCTTGGCGCAGTGCATTGCTCAGGTGTGAATGCAGTTTTAATATCTGTCATCTTCATTTCTAAATCTTATTGTAATATCGATCTCTGCCTGCCGCTCCAGTTTGGCTGATTTCCCTCCAGAATGCAGACGGATCCTGGAACCTGACCCGAGATTCTCTACTATACTGGGAGTATCTGAGAGCAGCATAAAGGCCGGCACCCCGGACCAGGTACCCAGAATAAGTACCCAGGATAAGTACCCAGAATAAGTACCCAGAATAAGTACCCAGAATAAGTACCCAGGATAAGTACCCAGAATAAGTACCCAGAATAAGTACCCAGGATATGTACCCAGAATATGTACCCAGGATAAGTACCCAGGATAAGTACCCAGGATAAGTACCCAGAATATGTACCCAGGATAAGTACCCAGAATATGTACCCAGGATAAGCACCCAGGATAAGTACCCAGGATAAGTAATGGAGAGATGGAACAAGAAAAAGATACAAAGTGACCAAAGTGATGACTCATTTCCACATCCTGCCATCTACTGGCAGAACCGATTCATTACAATATCCGTTAATAAATTGAACAGATTGCTGCTAGGTCAGATCTGTACCATCTATGAAGAAATCAGTGACAGTTGGGCGGCTGCACAGACCTGCACAGACCTTCAAGCATTCATCTCTGTATAGGCCTGCATGGATCTCCAGACAGACTGTGTTCTGATCCATGCATTGGTCCCGCGTGGATGTAGGAATGTGCTTGGAGGACCCTACAGGTCCACGCAGCTATGCACCTGTCATTCAGGGGTGGACTGACAACTCATGGGGCCCCCGGGCAATAGGAAATCATGGGGCCCTTGTGTCCTTGCCCACACTCAAACCACACCCAAAAAAGCCTATGAAAGGTACCAGGGGCATCTCATGCAGCCCCCTACTGACCCCGGGCCCTCTGGCAGTGCCCGAGTTTCCAAATGGTCAGTCCGCCCTGCTGTCATTCATATGAACAGGCTGCCTGCCTATGGCTGCACGGAACACCCTACAGCCTTTCATACGGATGTATTGGTATGCTCATGTGAATTCTTCCTCTGATTTCACTGCACACTGTGAGCTTCTCACAATGTGCATTAGAAGCTGCAGCACCGGATCCCGCCTCATTTACTGGCTGGAGGATGTCCAGTACAGGGGCGGACTGACAACTCATGGGGCTCCCGGGCAATAGGGGATCATGGGGCCCCTGCGTCCTTGCCCACACTCAAACCACACCCATAAAAAGCCTATGAAAGGTACCAGGGGCATCTCATGCTGCCCCCTACTGACCCCAGGCCCACGGGCAGTGCCCAAGTTCCCAAATGGTTAGTCCGCCCCTGGTCCAGTATCATCTAGCCCTTTCCACCCATGTCTTACTGTCCTTGATGCGCCTCTTTCATTCATTAAATTTTGGCTCTTTCAATCATAGAGGCTCAGCATCACATGTGAGCAATACCTAGGGTGGTGGGTCCTGGAACGCCCACTCCAGACACTGACAACCACCTATCAGGACATTTTAACATTTGCATAACTCTTCCCAATGGCCAGCCAACTGCTTGCATCAGGACAGAGAAGAGTACTAAGGCAGGGTGCTGTGATTTTTTCAGGAAGCTATGTACAGCACCCTCCCACCAGCCATGATCTGCCTGCATTACATAGCGAAGAACACAGACCCAGTGATGACATTATTGGATCTTAAAAAAAAAAAGCATGTTATGAAGACAGAAAGTTTGTTGTTTTTTTTTATTTTTAATGTCATTAGCATGTTGATGAGGGGAGGGTGAGGAACCCGGGAAAGCAAAATATATGCAGATTGAACTTCATCTTTAAGAACTGAGAACTGTACGGATACAGTGAAGGAAATGCCTATTTGATCCCCGGCTGATTTTGAATGTTTGCCCCTCACAAAGAAATGATCGGTCTAACAATGGAATGTTCGGTGTAACACTGAGAGACAGAATACAACAACAAATTCAGCAGAAATGTGTCTAACAAATGATGACTGATCTGCATGTTCATGAGGGAAATAAGGATTTGATCCCCTATCATTCAGAAGGATTTCTGGCTACCAGGTGTCTTTCATACAGGTAACAAGCTGAGATTAGAAGCAGTCTCTTAAAGGGAGTGCTGCTATCTCATTTTGTTATCTGTATAAAAGACACCTGTCCACAGGAGCCATCAAACCATTAGATTCCAAACTCTCCACCATGGCAAAGACCAAAGAGCTGTCCAAGGATGTCAGGGACAAGATTGTAGACCTACACAAGGCTGGACTGGGCTACCAAACTATGGCCAAGCAGCTTGGTGAGAAGGTGACAACAGTTGGTGCAATCATTCACAAATGGAAGAAAACAAAACAAGTGTCAGTCTCCCTAGGTCTGGTGCACCATGCAAGATCTCCCTCATGGAGTGTCAATGATCATGAGAACAGTGAGGAATCATCCCAGAACTACACGTGAGGATCTTGTCAATGATCTCCAGGCAGCTGGGACCACAGTCACCAAGAAAACAATTGGTAACACACTACGCCGACAAGGACTGAAATCCTGCAGTGCCCGCAAGGTCCCTCTGCTCAAGAAAGCACATGTCCAGGCCCGTCTGAAGTTTGCCACTGAACATCTGAATGATGCAGAGGAGGACTGGTGGGAAGTGTTGTGGTCAGAGGAGACCAAAATCCAGCTCTTTGACATCAACTCAACTCGCCGTGTTTGGAGGAGGAGAAGAATGCTGCCTATGGCCCCAAGAACACCATCCCAACTGTGAAACATGGTGGTGGAAACATTCTGCTTTGGGGTGTTTTTCTGCTAAGGGGACAGGACAACTGCACTGCATCAAAGGGACGATGGACGGGGCAATGTACCATCAAATCTTGGGCGAGAACCTTCTTCCCTCAGCCAGGGCATTGAAAATGGGTGGTGGATGGGTGTTCCAGCATGACAATGACCCAAAACACGCGGCCAAGGCAACAAAGGAGTGGCTCAAGAAGAAGCACATTAAGGTCTTGGAGTGGCCTAGCCAGTCTCCAGACCTTCATCCAATTGAAAATCTGTGGAGGGAGCTAAAAGTTTGAGTTGCCAAACGTCAGCCACCAAACCTTAATGACTTGGAGAGGATCTGCCAAGAGGAGTGGGCCAAAATCCCTCCTGACATGTGTGCGAACCTGGGGGCCAACTCCAGGAAATGTCTGACCTCTGATTGCCAACAAGGGATTTGACACCAAGTACTAAGTCATGTTTTGTGAAGGGGATCAAATCCTTATTTCCCTCATGAACATGCAGATCAGTCATCATTTGTTAGACGCATTTCTGCTGAATTTGTTGTTGTATTCTGTCTCTCAGTGTCACAATACACCGAACATTCGATTTTTAGACCGATCATTTCTTTGGGAGTGGGAAACATTCAAAATCAGCCGGGGAGCAAATATGCATTTCCTTCACTGTACTTCTTATTCTTCCCTCCTCTGCAGAACGTGGAGGTGTCGGTGTGGGTGACGGTCCTGGCGGTGATCTGGCTTCACAGCAGCTGTCTGGATCAGAGAGCAGAGTGGGAGCTGCTGGTGGAGAAGGCTGTCTCCTGGGTCAGGGCCAAAGCAGGTAAGTCCTGAGAAATGGTGGGCCGAAGGTCAGGATGAGGTGTCTGGAGAAATGCCGGTCCTTCATTTGTCTTTACAGAGAATCCAAGCTATTGTGATTCCTAAAATTATGTGATTCTCTTCCGACTGGTCTACGAAACATCCTTATATTCAGCTCAGTTAAAAAATGCTGTTCTCTGCTTTGCTGAACCCCTTGGTGCTGGCGCCTGCCGGCCCTTTAAGGGGTTTCAGATGCCTGGAGGTGGGACGGTGTTCAAGATCATATGGCAGTGGCTAAGTGGCTAATCACTTCCAACTGCCAGTACTCGGGTCATTGGTTCAAATCCCAGCCATGCCACCACCTGCCTGGAGTTTGCATGTTCTCCCTGTGGGTTTCCTCCGGGTACTCCGGTTTCCTCCCACACTCCAAAGACATGCTGGTAGGTTAATTGGCTCCTGTATAAATTGTCCCTAGTATGTGTATGTATGAATGTGAGTTAGGGACCTTAGATTGTACGCCCCTTGAGGGATAGGGACTGATGTGAATGTACAATATATATGTAAAGCGCTGCGTATGATGTGAATGTACAAATATATATGTAAAATTGACGGCGCTATAGAAGTACCTGAAATAAATAATATGACCACTCTCATTGGCTGTCACAGTGGTCACATGATCAGAAAGCTCCCATTTGCAATTAGGAATCAGGAGCTTTCCGTTAGCCACAGGTAATTGTGCCATCACTGTCGGCCCATCTTTTCGGTACATGAACATGCCTAGCCGCCAAGAGGCCGCATATTTGCGTTCGTTCGGCAACAAGGAGTTAAGGGGTTTCAGATGCCGGGAGTCCGGGGCGAGGTTTAAAATCATGTGACCGCTGTGATTTGCGGTCACAGCGGTCACATGATGGGAAAGCTCCCAATTGCAAATAGTGATAGGAAGCTTTCCGTTAACCGTCGGTAACTGTGCCGGAAGTGCGCGGGGTGCGCACACACTCGGGACAGCTGTCCTCACATTATGGTACACATATATGCGGCTTCTCGGCATTGCAGTCCACCCCTCATATGTGTGTACTGTCCGCGCCAAGGAGTTGAGGCCCCATTCACACTTTGCGATTTGGAAATGCAGGGAAAAATCGCCCTCGATTCTCTTCAGACTCCTGTCAAGGGCTGCAAAATGCACAAAACGCGTTTGGGTGCCATTATCCTTCAATAGCACCCCAAACACAATGCGATTTAGACGTGATTGCGATGCGATGCTGGATTCTGGCCACTGCGGCAAACCACACCCGAAATGGAGCTTCTTTTTGGGCGACAAACCCGTATAGGGCAGCCCATTTAAGTGAAGCTGGCCCCATCCCATATGGAAGAAAAATATATTTGAAACATATTTTAAAAATATTCTTCCCAAACATATTGCCTCATATTTGAAATGCTACAATTTTGGCCGTACTCAATATATATATATATATTGAAATGCATTTTTATTACAAAATATATGAAAATATTTTTAAAAATACATTTCAAATATACTGTATGTCTTTAAAAGTACAAATCTACATTTTTGGAATGCATTTACAAATATATGCAAAAATGACTTTTTTATATGTTAAAAAAAAAAATCTGAAGAATATATTTAAAAAATATATTTTTAAAAAAATTTTTAAATATTTTTTTTCATATATTCTTCAGATTTTTTTAAACATATAAAAAATTAATTTTAACATATATTTGTAAATGCATTAAAAAAAATGTAGATTTGTATTTTTAAAGACATATATTTTTAAAAATACATTTCAAATATACTGTATTTCAAATATATTTTGAAATAAAAACGCATTTCAACATGCATGTGTGTATGTATATATATATATATATATATATATATATATATATATTTATTTATTGAAAAATATTGAATATGGCCAAAATTTAAGCATATCAAATATATGGCAATATATTTGGGAAGAGCATTTTTATAATATATTTCAAATATATTTTTCTTCCATGTGGGATGCAACATGCAGAGTCACATGACAATCACGCTGTGTAAATCACGTAGCAGGATATGTGAACGAGTCCTAAATTGTAGGGCTTAGCAAAACATTATTTTTCAGTTTTGGTTGGAGCAGCCCAGTCGTTTTATTTTTTTTTTCCTGTCTGTGTTTTGCTGAGAAGACATCCTGTGCAGGGGATCTCCCCAAAGTGAGTTGTCACTCACACTTGTCCCCATTGGAAGATTTTCCCTCTATTCCTGTTCTGGTGACAACTGTAAAACCTTCCATCTCTCTTCACTTTCTACTCCAATTTACTCAGTGCCTGAAGAAGTGCCAGTTCTTCCACGCTCAATGCAAAACTAAGAAAAAAAAAGTTTAAAGTGTATTTCCACCTTTGTGCTCAAATTGTACCTACAGACTGTGTTTATGTGTTCTTATTCACACAGCATACCTAAAGATATATTTGTTTCTAATATTTCTTTTCTTCTTGGTGGATTCTTTGGATCAGGTTTACAGATGGGGCACTATAGGCAGCTTCTATTGCTTTGAATAGAAGGCAAAGGGAAAAGAGGAAACAAACTCAGAGACAGTTTTTAACAATGCTCCACCCAAGTCTCAGATCTTCAGTCCTTCGCTGTGTCAGGCAGTGTCGAGTTTACAAATGATAATGAAATCTGCCAGCACAGTGCAAGGAGGATTAATTATGGCAAGCACAACTCCCCACCCCTCTCCTTAACATTACATACTGTCAGTGATTTTTGTTCTCAGGAGTAGGTGCAGGAACTCCCCCCTTCTAAATCACTCTTTGTCCCTGCCTCCTACTTACCTCAGAGCACTGTTCCTCGGTTCCACCCCATACCCACCTCTGAGCACCGTCCCATGGTTACACACCTCTACCCACCTCTGAGGATTGTCCCTTGGTTCACCACCTTCCCCCTCTGAGCACCATTACTTGGTTCCACCCTACCCACCTCTGAGCACCTTCCCTTGTTTTGACCCCCTACCTACCTCTGAGCACCATACCTTGGTTCCACCCCTACCCACCTCTGAGCACCATACCTTGGTTCCACCCCCTACCCCCCCGCTGAGTACCATCCCTATGTTCCATCCCCCTCTGAGCACCGTCCCATGGTTACACCCTCTACTCACCTCTGAGTATTGTCCCTTGGTTCCACCCCCTCCCCACCTCTGAGCATCGTCCCTTGGTTCCATCTCCTCCCCACCTCTGAGCACCATCCCTTGGTTCCATCCCCTCCCCACCTCTGAGCACCTTCCCTTGGTTTCACCACCTACCCCCCTTCCACACCTACCCACCTCTGAGCACCCATCCCTTAGTTCCACACCTACCCCTCTGAGCACCGTCCCTTGGTTCCACCCCCTACCCACCTCTTAGCACCTTCCCTTGTTTCCACCCCCTACCTACCTCTGAGCACCTTCCCTTGTTCCACCCCCCTACACCCGCTGAGTACCATCCCTATGTTCCATCCCCCTCTGAGCACCGTCCCTTGGTTTCACCCCCTACCCACCTCTGAGCATCGTCCTTGATTCCAACTCCTACCCATCTCTGAGCAGTGTCCCTTGGTTCTAACTGCTACTTACCTCCCAGTATCACCCCTTTTAGAGAATACAGAACCAAGTATCATTTTTGTGCTACCACGTATGACACAACTGCCCACCCCTCTCCTTAATTACATACTGTCAGGGATTTTTTTTCTCAGGGAGTAGGTGCAGGAACTCCCCCCTTCTAAATCACTTTTTGTCCCTGCCCCTACCCACCTCTGAGCACCGTCCCCACCCCCTACCCACCTCTGAGCACCGTCCCTTGGTTCCATCCGCTTCCACCTCTGAGCACCCCTACCCACCCTCTGAGCACCGTACCTTGGTTCCACCCCTACCCTACTCCACCTCTGGAGCACCCCTCTGATCACCGTCCCTTGGTTCCACCCCCTACCCACCTCTGAGCTGTCCCTTGGTTCCGCCCTCTACCCATCTCTGATCCCGTCCCTCGGTTCCACCCTCTACCCACCTCTGATCACAGTCCCTTGGTTCCGCCCTCTACCCATCCTGATCACCGTCCCTTGGTTCCACCCTCTACCCACCTCTGAGCATCGTCCCTTGGTTCCACCCCCTACCCACCTCTGAGCACCGTCCCTTGGTTTCACCACCTACCCACCTCCTGAGCACCGTCCCTTGGTTCCACCCCCCCCACCTCTGAGCACCTCTTGGTTCCCCACCTACCCACCTCTGAGCACTTTCCTTGGTTCCCCACCTACCCACCTCTGAGCGCCGTCCCTTGGTTCCACCCCCTACCCCCCCGCTGAGTACCGTCCCTGGTTCCACCACCCCCCTCAGCCCCGTCCCTTGGTTCCACCCCCTACCCACCTCTGAGCACTGTCCCTTGGTTCCACCCCCTACCCACCTCCCAGTATCACCCATTTTAGAGAATACAGGACCAAGTATCATTTTGTGCTGCCAAGTATGACATTTATTAATAACATCAAATTTATTAATAACAAGAAAGACAGTAAAATAGATCCCCCACAGTAAACCACAGTAGACCGCACCCCAGCAACAATAGACCCCCACACACACAACAATAGACTCCCCCCAGCAACAATGGACACCCCACAACAAAATACTACCCCAGGAACAATAGACCCCCCCAGCAGCAACAACAAATCTCCCAGCAGCCAGCAACAATAGACCTCTCCCTGAACAGTATATCCCTCCCAGAAAACAAATGACTCCCCCAGCAACAATAGAAACCCATGCAACAATAGATCCCTACCAGCAAAAATAGATCCCTACCAGCAACAATAGATCCCCCAGCCGCCAGCATGAATAGACCGTCCAGCACACCCCCGCACGCCTTACCATTACATACATTCAGTGCTGGAGGTGCCGGAACTGCGTTCCCCAAAGGGACAGCAAAGTAGGATGTTTCAGTCCTGGAATGTTCAGAGAAAACTCAGGGTTAAATAAGAATACATTTTTTTTAAATGTTTCTTTTTTTACTTGTAATGTTTCTTTAGGTGACGTCTTATGCAGGTCACAGCTTGGATCTACATATGAATGAAATGGTAAATACAATGTAACAACACATTGCTACATTGTGTTACTCAATGATTATCTGCAAGTGTCATTCTACTCAGGAGCCGCTGCGTCTGACAGCCACTGCTGCTATACAGTACAAAGCAATTCCCGGCTGTCGTGACAGCCAGTAATGTCAAATATTTGCATCCAGGGAGCAACCGCAAGGGGGAGAAGAGCGGGACATAGGAGATACACCCCGGAAACGTTGTTCCCGTTTTTAGGCCGTATCTCCTATGTCTGAGGTCCTCCAGTGGATAAAGCAGGATATTGTTTTAACAAGTCAGTCTGAGGAAATCACTAAATACAACCAATTACTGTTTGTGATTGGAGAAGAAAAAATGAACAGACCTTTGAAATCCGCCCCATGTGTCCAACGTACAGAGACTTCATTGTTCTGTCTCTCCAATCTAAGCATTGAAAGTGTGATCTCTGTAATTTACAGATGTGATGAGATAGTGATAACTCCAATCTTAGTTGAATATCACAGGCAGTGACCCGATCCAGACGACACCTTGTAGATCTTGTGAAGTTTATTCCAGAAACTGAGAGAATCTTACAACAATGAACATCGGATTGGTCAAAAGATCATCATGTGACCTGCTTCCATAAGACATGAGGCATGAAGCTGAAAAGCATTACTGGGAACAGGGGTGGACTGACCATTTGGAAACTCGGGCACTGCCCGAGGGCCCGGGGTCAGTAGGGGGCCCTATGAGATGCCCCTGGTACCTTTTTCATAGGCTTTTTTGAGTTTGGGCAAGGGCACAGGGGCCCCATGATCCCCTATTGCCTGGGGGCCCCATGAGTTGTCAGTCCGCCCCTGACTGGGAAAAAGGGTGGGGCTATCTATACAACATGAACTAAACCAGAGGAAAGGGAGGAGCAGAGACAAAATACAAAGAACACTTAAAGGCATATGACAGTCATGTGAAATATGACATTCACAGTCAGTGCTTTTCTGAATCTAATAAAATAGAATCAGTGAGCGCTTTTAAAACTAGCAGCTATAGCACATACAGGTAACCAGGGGCGGACTGACAACTCATGGGGCCCCGGGCAATAGGGGATCATGGGGCCCATGTGTCCTTGCCCACACTCAAAGCACACCCAAAAATGCCTATAAAGGTACCAGGGGCATTTCATGGGGCCCCCTACTGACCCTGGGCCCTCGGGCAGTGCCCGAGTGCTCGAATGGTCAGTCCGCCCCTGCAGGTAACCAAGTAAAAACCTCATAAAGACTAATCATAATAAAGTGCAGCGCTAAAATGATTAATAAATAAAATATTCCAAATAAATAAATGATGTGACAGTTCGTGGTAAAGTGCTTGATACAGGGGTTGATGGTGACTGCAAACTTCAGTGGTGTGCCAAGAAATTATAGTAAAAATACGCACTCACCAGATGCGTATTTTAAATACGCATGTAAAAGTGATAAAACCAGAGGTCTTCCTCTCAGGATGGGATGGATGGGGTGTGCCGTTTACGGACTATCCTCCCTCTGGGTGGTACACAGCTTTACAGGTGTCTCCCTTGGTGGGTGTAGATAGGATCCAGCCAGAGGCCTCCTTAATGGATGGATGGACACTTGTCAGATTTGGTTTTATCACTTTACATGCGTATTTAAAATACGCATCTGGTGAGTGCGTATTTTTATTATACTTTCTTGGCACACCACTGAAGTTTGAAGTCACCATCAACCCCTGTATCAAGCACTTTACCACAAACTGTCACATCATTTATTTATTTGGAATATTTTATTTATTAATCATTTTAGCGCTGCACTTTATTATTGTTAATCTTTTCTGAATCTGCACAGATCTCATGAGTCGGATTGTTCCTTTAACTGCCTGCTAGATGGCGCCTGGAATACATAAGTGACATTGATGTGTCCTTAGGTTCTTCTCTGGGTGGGCTGGTCCGAGCCGGAAATGAGCTGCTGAGATCCTCGGTGGAACCCAAAGTGTTCGGACTGTGAGAGGAGAGGAGTCTGGAGGATCCAAGGTGTTGGAAGGCTTTTTGTTCTGGATTTCGGAATCTTCCTGCACTGCGAGATGTCACTGCGCCTTCCCCACGTTTGTGCCTTTGTACTGCGCTCCTCTATATGTGAGCCGTACCAGTGTTACCTGTGTTGAGTTTACTCACTGGGATATGAAAAATGTCTATTTTTTGTTGTTTGCTGTCACATTATTTTTATATATCAAAGAGCAGAATTTTATTGTTATATTTACAGGGCAAACGCACTCGGCAGTTCCCATGTGCAGCATCACATACCAAAAAGTGACTCCGCCCTATTATTGCACTCATAGAAGCCCGGCCGCACCCTATTTCCTACGATCTCCCCGATAATGTAGATGTAATACATTTTTTTTCCAATTAAAATATTATAATTTTTGTCATCCTTGGTGTTAGCTCAGTGCTGCTGATCTCCCACAGCCTCTTTGCAGCCACTTCCTGCCTACTTGCATTCTTGTGATGGCTGCATGGCATTTCTCACGGGTTTTCTGTTGGTGACAACAGTGAACCGTGCCTGGGTACTGTGTAAAAAGGAGCTCTTTACCAGGGTTCAATGATGTCCCAGTCGATGATGTCACATGGGGGCGGGGTCACCCAGTGACCTCATTGGGCAGCCCCACCCCTTAGTTTATTGAGCAGTGGAGCTGTCATTTGGTGGGAGCCAAGCGTTGGTGTTTTTTTTTTTTTTTTTTTTTTTTGCGGGCGTTTGTCTTGATTGAAGTTGGATCTACTTTGGGGGATCTTTTTTGGGGGGTTATAAAGGACTTTTCAAAAACTGTTTATTCCTTTTTTTTAAACTTTTGGATACTTTTTTTTTTGGTGAACGAGTAATAGTCCTTTCTTTTTTTTCGGGTCGGCGGCATTCATCATGATTGACATTGGATCTACTTTGGGGGGGACAATTTTTTTTTTCGTAATAAAGGATCTGTTGTGTTTTAAGATGAATGAGTTGGGATATGGGCTGTGTACCCCCTACTCATTCACATGGGAAGGGTCGGGATTTTTGTGGGGGTTGCATAAAGAACCTATCAAAACTTTTTTATTCCTTTTTTTTTAAACTTTGGACTTTTCTTTTTTTGGTGAACGAGTAATAGTCCTTTTTTTTTTTTTTTTCAAGTCAGCGGCCGGCGTTCATCATGATTGACATTGGGTCTAATTTTGGGGGACAATTTTTTTTTTTAATAAAGAATCTGTTGCTGTGGTTGTTTTTGATGAGTAGGGATATGGGCTATGTACCCCTACTCATTCACATGGGAAGGGTCGGGATCTGGGGGGGTTGCATAAAGGACTTGTCAAAAACTGTTTATTATGCATTTTTTTTAACTTTGGGCATTTTTTTTTTTTGGTGAACAAGTGATAGTCTTTTTTTTTTTTTTTTTTTTTTTTTTTGGGTTGGTGGCCGGCGTTTATCATGACCAGGGACGGACTGACCATTCGAGCACTCCAGCACTGCCCGAGGGCCCAGGGTCAGTACCTTTTTTATAGTTTTTTTTTGAGTGTGGGCAAGGACACAGGGGCCCCATGATCCCCTATTGCCCGGGGGCCCCATGAGTTGTCAGTCCACCTCTGATCATGACTGACATTGGATCTAATTTTGGGGGACATTTTTTTTTTTTGGTTTTTTTTTTTAATAAGGGACCTGTTGCTGTGTTTTTTTGATGAATTAGTAGGGATATGAGCTATGTACCCCTACTCATTCACATGGGAAGGGTTGGGATTTGGGGGGGCGGGTGTTGCTTAAAGGACTTGTCAAAAACTGTTTATGCATTTTTTTAAACTTTGGACTTTTTTTTTTTTGGTGAATGAGTAATAGTCCTTTCTTTTTTTCGGGTCAGCGGCTGCCATTCATCATGATTGACATTACATCTACTTTGGGGGGACAATGCTTTTTTTCTTTAATAAAGGATCTGTTGCTGTGTTTTTTTGATGAATGAGTAGGGATATGGGCTATGTTCCCCTAACTCATTCACATGGGAAGTGTTGGGATCTGGGTGGCTCCTTGTGAAAGGGGACCTCCAGATTCTGATAAGTCGCACCCATAATCACCAGGGCAGGGTTTTAGAGAAGAGACCCTTGTCCTCATCAACATGGGAACAAGCACACCCCCCATGTTGACAGCATGTGGCCTGGTATGGTTCGGGGGAGGCACTTGTTCACCCCCCCCCCTTTCCTTGCCTGACAGGCTGCATGCTCGGAAAAGGGTTTTGTATTGATTTTAGGGGGACGCCACACGTATTTTTTTTTTTCAAATTTTGTGTTGAGTTACTCTCACAATCCATACCAAATCCAAAGGGCCTGGTGTGGATTGGAGAGGGGACCCCCACGATGTTTTTTTTTTTTTTTTATTGTAATGCAGGCAATTCTTTAGTTTACATTCTGCTGTCAGTAAGGAATCCTGCTCACCGGCAGCCTCCCGATCCTTATCAACTAGCTGTTTACTGGTTGTTAAGGACACCAGCATTAAAATAGCAGTGGTCATGTGATATTTTAGTAGCGTTTTTAGTGAATTGCAAACAAATTTTTGAAAACTGCCCCAAACTACATCACCCATCTTGTCCCCAAATATCACCCAAACCGTCCTCTCCGCTCTTCCCACGACTTCTAGCTCCCTTGTCTCCTCCTCCCATGCTCGTCTCCAGGACTTCTCCAGAGCCTCCCCCATCCTCTGGAGCTCTCTACACCAATCTACCCGACTATCACCTACTCTGCCCACTTTTAGGCGATCTCTGAAAACCTGTCTTCTTCTCTGCCCTCAGCTAATAACCAAATCTTCTATATCTCCCATCAGTTCATCCCCCCCACAGTTATTACCTTTTATACCACCTATTAGATTGTAATCTCCCAGGATCAGGGCCCTCCTAACACTCTTGTATTGAACTGTATCGTCTCCCTTTATATTGTAAACTGCTGAACAAACTGTTGTCTCTATATAAACCCTGTATAATAATACAAATAATAAAAATACTTATTACTTCGGATCTTGAATGAGGCCTACTGTGCAATAAAGATTGTGTGATAATCTCTCATGTGTCAGTGTTCTGGAATATTATGAAAACAGAATATTTATAAATATATAACAAATATATGCAGTCAGGAATGTGACCTATAGACCCCAGTCACCATGTCACCACCCCAGTCACCATGTCACCCCCAGTCATCATGTCACAGTCCCCGTCACCATGTCACCCCCGTCATCATGTCGTCACCCAGTCACCATGTCAGTGTGTTTGTTCCTACAATACTAGGGTATTTATCATGTGTTACTCCAATGCATCTGCTGCCACCTAGTGGAGAGAAAATATATAATAATAATCATAACAGTTACAGTGACCCCCGCTTCATATCCGTGCAGCCGCACCACCCGCACAGAGAATTGCGGGCGGGTGCCATTAGTTGTAATGGTACGCAGCCCGCACTGGGAAACGCAACCGTACTGGGAACCTCGGCTGCATTTTCAAAAGAAGTGCAGGGACTTCTTCCCTGCGTGTCATGGAGCACGGGAGTCCATTCAAATGAATGGGCTCTCGTGCCTGAGCAAAACGCGGCCCGCACAACGGCTGCATAGATGTGAACCGGGGGTAATAGACAATTAGCCCGGGTTCACACTGATTTTTTGGGTCTGCACTAGAATCGGATCGCATGGGTATTCACACCTATGCGATCCGATTCTGCACATCGCACTGCGTTGTGCGGACTGATTTCGGGGTGTTGTTAACTTAACATACACACCCGCAGCGGTTCGCATGAATGGGGTGCGATTCCGTTGCGGTGTGGAATTCTCACAGAAAATGCTGCGAATTCCGTGCCGCAACAGAATCGCACCCCGTTCATGCGAACCGCTGCGGGTGTGTATGTTAAGTTAACAACACCCCGAAATCAGTGCGCACACCGCAGTGCAATGTGCAGAATCTGATTGCATGTGTGTGTTGATACCCATGCGATCCGATTCTAGTGCGGACCCAAAAAAAAAGGTCCTGCACCTTTTTGGTGCGGGTGCGGTGCGATTTGAGCCATACAAAATGTACGGCTCCGATCGCACTGCACACAAATCGCATGTGATTCGCACAGGAATGCGGCGCGGTTCCTGTGCGAATCACATGCGATGTACTGCACTGCATCAGTGTGAACCCGGCCTTAACAATGGAAAGCAAAACCAAAAATAAAGAAACACAGATGAGTGTGATTATGGCTGCTGCAGTCTTCAAAATGTGTCTAACTTCCACGTTAGTGAGCCCTATAGCTGTGTATATAGACTGCGCTACCAAAAATGTGAACCAAAATTACTTCAAGTGTTACTAAACCCCCAACAGTACAATCAGTCGGGAGATGCAGTAAAGCGTGCTTGTTATACTCACTGTGGAGCCTAAGGGGTTAATCCTTGTGTAAAAAGGCTGTTTGATCCTGTCTTCTCTGATCCTCTTCTTATTCTACTGTCCCCCCTCTTATCTCCTGATAAGACCTATCGTGTGGCGACACATGCTCAGTTTGGTGTGTATTGCTGGAGAGTTTTACTTTTTTCTTGGGAGAGTGCATGTGACCAGCACAGGGCCAATCAGCACAGTCCAGACAGAGGTGAGGGGTTGTGCATCCTCCTAGAGCAGAAAGAAAACCCCTCCTACAAGCTTTAACCAGTGCTCTGCTGGACACTGATAGAAGTCACAGATGTATCAGTAAGTCCCATTCAAATAATAGTTGCTTGAAAACCAAAAGATAGGCGAACAGGTGCTGGTGCCATTAGTAACAGAAAAAAACAAGTGATCACTTCCAGGTGCTCCTAGTGACCCCACATGGATTTACACTCACCACCAGGGGCCCCCCGGGCAAAAGGGGATCATGGGGCCCCTGTGTCCTTACCCAAACTCAAAAAAGCCTATGAAAAAGGTACCAGGGGCATCTCATGGGGCCCTCTACTGACCCTCGGGCAGTGCCTGAGTTTCCAAATGGTCAGTCCGCCCCTGCTCA